CTTCATTTTATGTGTATTTCAATGTCGACCAGCAATTCCAAACCCTCCAGCCAAGCTTCCATCACCCGATGAGCAATATCTACAATCCTTCTCCGTCCACTACAACACCACCTCCACTTCTCCTCCGACATGTTACTTCGGTCGCACATAGAGTTTGTGAGAGGAACAGAGCTTAGAGGGCTAGATGAGGACGTGGTGGACGACGAGGGGCCAATGTTGAGAGAGCAAAGTGACTCTAGAAATTGTTATAATTTCTAGAGTTTTTTAAAAATTTATTTCATATAATCGTTGATCTTGTCTAAGCACGTGTTAGTTTGCTGCAATGTTGCGAAATAAAATTACGTTTGTTTTTAGTAGTAGTAGTAGTGATTTGCTTGCGATTCAAGCGAACACCTCAAATACCCCCAACTAGTTCACTTAAGTCACTAGCAAACTACTTCAAACCTATGTCGTTCGCTTTATAGCCCATCGAACAACTGCCAACTCTTACTAGCGATCTGTTTTGTTCATCGATTTGAACCACGAATCACGGGTCTGTTCGCTTGACTTTCCAGCGAACCATCCGAAACTCTAATAGTTTTGGAAATATTTTTAATATATGATATTGTGTGAATTTATTTTTATTAACCCTTGTATTTAGAGATCTTTTTCCAAATAAAAAGCAAGTGAAGGCAGCCTATTAAATTAGAAAACTATACATTAATTACGCCCCAACTTGTTTCGTCTTATTGCGTTTTCTTTAATAATATCGGAATCGGACTCTAATCCGGAACATAACTGGAAGATAAAATCAAATGAAACGAGCATTACATTTTTAGGGATTTCCTACGGTACTTTGAAGTAAGGTAACTTGAATTTTTTATCTGCTATAGTAGGTTTTATAAGTCTTATTACGTAAAATACAATAGACATTACGTAATGGTTACGTAACCTATGGTAATTTTACGTAACAGTTGTAAAAGGTCATTACGGAAGTCTTACATAATGGACAGTTATTTTACGTAATGAATACCAAGATTGCATTATGTAAAGTGTAAAGTGATCACGGAAGCTTACATAATGCTTTTGATTTAACTGTTATGTAAGAAATAACTATGTTTCGTAAACTTTACGTAATGGAAAGTCTTTTTACGTAATGAGTAGTAACCTCACGTTACGTAAAGTGCTAAGTCATTACGGAAGCCTTACGTAATGCTTGTGATTTAACTGTTACGTAAGAATTAACTATCATTTCGTAAACGTTACGTAATGTATGTGTATTTTACGTAACAATTGAAAAGTGTCATTATGGAAACTTATGTAATGGAAGGTCCACTTACATAATGAGTATTAACATCGTGTTACGTAAAGTGGTAAGTAATTATGGAAGGCTTGCGTAACGCTTCTAATTTAACTGTTACGTAAGAAATAACTATCATTACTTAACGTTTACGTAATGCGTATTAATACAATAATTAAATAATAAATAATGAAAAGGAAAAATAAAAACAAGACATGTCAATCCTCCAATAATATATGGCAGAGTTTCGTATACTTTTATCCATTTTAAATTTCATACAACGAGAGTGAAAGTAGGAAGGACATTTTTGTCTTTACACTAAATTTATTTATTTCATAAATAAATAACCACATCAAGATATGAACCCAGATCTCTTCAAATAAAGACAACAATCATAGCCAATTACACTAAACAAATTTGTTGATTCCTTTTTGATACAAAACATCCTCCAATAACATATGGTAGAGTTTTGTGTACTTTTCTCCACTATAAATTTCCTGCAACGAGAGTGAAAGTAGGAAGGACATTTTTGTCTTTACACATAAATTATTTATTTCATAAAAAATATATCTACCTCAAGATTTGAATCCGGGTCTCTTCAAATAAAGACAACAATCACAACTAGTTACACTAAACAAATTTGTTTATTCCTTTTTTATATAAAACATAGACAAAATTAAACTCTGAAATCAGAGAACTTTTCCATCATGATTAGCAAGCCCACTAAGTCTACCGTATGTATTTTTATCGTGCTTGATACTTTTATTTTCATAGTAGAGTTTCATGTAATTTTCTCAATTTTAAATTTTAAATTTCTCCTTAATTTTTGCTAAAGGTAAATTGGTAATTGGCTAACATGGAAGAAACTAATTATGTTAATTTGTATTGCATCCTTGCATTTTTTAATTTAAATTTAAATTTTGTGCTTTTTTTTTATCTTTGTTCTTTTCTCTTTCTAACTTCCTCTGAAATTTTGTCCATCGTGCAATAGTTTGCACCCCTTTCACTTCCCAGTACAAGGTTGCCATTGAAAATCAATCTTCGGGTATCTTTTGGCACTATGGTTTTATTGTTGGGGATTTAGGCTGGTCGAGTAGAAGATTTTAACTCCAATATCAATCCATGGCGAATAGAATGGAGTTCATCAATAAATGGAGTTGCAGAAGAAGGATTAGAAATTGAATTTTTGGTTAAATCATATGCCTCTTTAGATAAAAATTTGGTGGTACGACGGAGAGTGATGGCTATTGGATCTTTAGGTTTATGGTTTTTGCAACTGTCTTTCTATCTTAAAACGAGGAATCATTGATTGATTTATTGAAGTAGGTCGATTCTTTATTCAACCTACTGAAACTAATAGATAAAGAGTGTCTAATTTTGCGCTTTATCACTTTGATCGAGTCTATTCGTATATTGGAGGCAAAGCAGTCAAAATTGGGATTTTACGTAAAATAAAAAATGAGGGTAAAATCGAATTGTAAAATCGTAGGACTTTAAGGTCCATATAAAAATGAAGGCAGAATAGTAAGGAAAATCATGAATAACACAAAAGCACATAACACTTACAATGGTAATTTCTCAAGGTTAATGTTAAGAGGTGATGAATCGATGATGATTAATAGGTTGATGTGAATTGATTATAGTCGATGGTGGTTAGTGTGAGAGAACTAGATGATGTTGGTGGACGAGAAGAAAAAGAGGTGTAATTTTGTAAATTCTGGGGAAAATAAGTAAAATTGACTCAAAGATTTGCATCATAAAATCGTAAGATTTTTAAAAAATTTAGGATTTAAATCGTGAATAGTGTAGGATTTTAATGTCCATAGATTTATAGTGGAATCAGAATCGGAATAGTTAAGTAAAATTGTAAAAGCGTAGGATTTAAATCGGGATTTTGACTACTCTTATTGGAGGTAACCCTAATTTTTTTTCGTTTGCTCTCAAGTTGTGATGGTCCCCTCTTAGCTGAGTTCTTAGTATATAGTTGACTTGAATCAATAACTCTCCATTTCTTTATGATTAGTGACATATTGTTTCTAAAAGGGGAGTATTGAACCCTTTATATACGATTGTGAGGTTTAAGATTTAATTCAAACTATCTATGGGTCGTTTGGAAATTTCAGTGAGCTTTTATACTCTATCTTTCTTGACAATCAACTAACCAATAACAATTTTAACGGGGACTTAATTATCATTATGAAAATGGAATCAATGATACATTTTTATATTTTATATTCTTAAATGATTATGATATTTCTCCGGTTTTCAACCTATATATTCTTTCTTTATGTATCATCTCGATCGAAAGATTATCAATAAAATTAAACGGGGTGATAGACTTAAAAGTAACATAAAAATATAAATAATCAAATATGAGCATTCCGACCAACGGACCGGGTTATAAGCTAGTTAGAAAAAGAAAATAAATGCTCCCGCAAAACTAAAAGAAACCCGGTGTTGCGAGTTATTTTCTATTTTTTTTCTTTTTTCCCCTTTTTAATCAATTGCTTAAAATAATTAGAATATATTTTAATAGTTCAGATTTAATCAAATTACCTAACTTAAAATTATACTCAAGTTACCCTACATTCTTATTAATTAATCAATATCCTTGAAATTCAGACCCAAACAAAGAACAAATACAAATAATGGTAGTGGCTACTTGGCTAGTCATCATGCTCCCTCTCACACACTAACAACCTCCAACAAACTTCCAAACAAATTACACGGATACCTACATGTCACAAGCACCCACCAACTTCCCCTATACGCAGAAAACATTAATAAATATATCCGTAGGCATTTTGTAAACAAAAATATGAATTAATTCACCCGCTAGCACTAAACTACATGCACAAATATGTTTCCATTTATCATACAAATTAAAATTCTACCGGTATCATACAATTCCTATTTATATGTTTTTAAAAATTAGTTTATCATATAATATGAATTTTACACGTACAAACTGAACTTTACTATAATACATATGTGCAAATTCTCTTAGGATACAAACTAAACTTGTATCATTAACGTTATGGTACAAATTCAAATTGTATCTCGAAACACCAATATTTTAGAGTATAGTAGAAGGTCTTCGAGAAGTTATCCCCCTCAATTGTCAGTCTTTCAAGTAACCAATAACTTTAAATTTTCTACCAAACATTTCATCTTGATATAACAAACTCTATAAATCAACTAAGTGAATTTCTCCAATCACAAAGATCTTCACCAAGAATTAAAAAAAAAAAGTGATGAACTAAAACTTATAAACTGATTAGGTTACATGACTTTGTGGGAATCCGAATATGATTCTTGAAAGTGGTATACAAATTGATTATACAAGTACAATAAAATGAAATGGTTTTGTAAACAAATATATTCAATTTTAGAAATGAATGATAAAAAATACTTGTACTAAGGGCCGTTTTCATGAGTCATTTGCTCAAATATAGACATTTACAAATTTATTGTTTGTTTAATAGTTTTAAGGGAAGTCATTCATAAATTGATTATTTGTATAATGTTACAATTTTGCCCTTACATTTACTATTTCATTACCTTGTTTCATAAATTGATTATAAAACTAACCACGTAACAAAATCATTTTGCAACCAACAAAACATTTGATTACGAGTCATGTATAATACTTTCTAATATTAAATAATATTTTTATATTAAATTTCTTTATAAAAGCTAACGACTCGAGGAGTCTCACATTCGAACTAATTACGACTTATTCTTGAAGGCGGAAACTCCGATGACACAAAGAGGTAGAGTCACGAGAAAATGATGTAGACGATAAGATGGACGACCCCCCATCACCACTTGTAAAATTTGGCAGAAAGAAAAAAAATCGGTAATAGACGAAAGAATGGTTAGAGAAATAAGTAGGGCTGTTAGTCGGTGCGGTTTCGGTTTAACCGAACCGCACCGTCGGTTAGCCGAAACCGAAACACGCTCGTTTTCCTCAACCGAAGCCGACACCGACGCCATCCTCAGTTAACCGGCAACCGAAACCGTCGGTCTCGGTTTGATTGGGCGGTTAGCCGAAACCGCCAGAGTTGGCCGGTTTTCGGTTTCGGTCAGAAACCGACCAACAAAACCGATCCAGAACCCTGCACACAGCACACACACCTGCAGACCTGCTGCATTTTTTCTGCACACAGCACACACACCTGCTGCATTTTTTCTAAAAACCTGCAACATCAACAATTGCATACAATTGTAAACCTGCCAAAACAAAACATTATCATTGAAGGTCTCACTGATCAGCACATGCAAAGTTCCTTTGAGGTTTCAATGAATGCGTTACGCAGCAGAAAGGTTAATTGTGAAAGACTAACGTACGTGGTGAACGCGTAAAACCCTTCCCTCAGTGGAGAGAAGGTTAAAACCATGAGATTATTTTTGATTATATATGTTGCAGCGCTCTTTCAGTGATCAGATATACAAGACAAAAAAACTTGTAATGATCCGGAAAAAAGAATAAGGGTCTTATTTTATAACACTACCAATAACAAATATGGAGACCAATGTTCTGTACACAAATCCGAAATCCCTACTAATGTTCTTGGGGCTGTTGGAGACTTACATTGGTGATGGTGAATCGGTGATTGAACATGGCAGAAGACGGCGGGAGAACAGGGCAGACGACGGCGGGATTCCGGGGCAGAAGACGGCAGCGTCGGCGACGACGACTTCTGTTGGACGACTTCTGTTCGGCGGGAGAACAGGGCAGACGACGCGAAGGTTGGGAGCGGGAGGAGTGAGGACGGCGCTGCCGCTGCGACGGCCGACGAGCTCGACGGGGACGACCGGACGAGGCGACTGGCGGGCGGCGGCGAGGGTAGGGACTAGGGATTACTGGGGAACGAAATGGGGAGGACGAGCGGCGGGTGAGGAGACTGGGGAACGAAATTTAGGTCAGGGAGGAGAGGCCTTCACCGATTTCGCCATTTAGGTCAGGGAGGAGAGGCCAAAGCCAAACGACGCTGTATTGAGGACAGGTAAGTGTGGTCGGTTTTTTGCGGTTACTTTGCACGGTTTCGGTTTTAACCGCTAACCGCTCGAATTGCCCAACGGCTGATGTTAGCCAACCGCAACCGACAACCGCAAGCAACAGACGGTTTTCGGTTGGTCAGTAAACCGACGGTTTCGGTTCGGTTTCGGTGGCAACCGAAAAACCGGAGACCGATTAACAGCCCTAGAAATAAGTAATAGAAAGGCAAAGGTAAAAGTGAGTTTATGAAAAGTGACAAAGACATAATTGGAAAGTCTTGCTAAAATAATGAGTCATTTGGCAATGACTCATAGATAGGAGACATTTGGAAATGACTCAATAGAGTCATTTAAGACTTTCTTATGAGCCAAATGACTCGTGAAGTTTTTTGTCAGCAAACGATTCATTTGGTACCAAATGACTCAATTAAGTCATTTGGGACCAAATGACTCATTCAAATGACTCTAGCAAACGACCCTTAAGAGTTTCATAAGCATAGAAGCAACACACATAATTTCATTGGCCAATGAGTCGAATGTCATTGGTCTATCTATACATTTAACAATCAATGGTGTATATGTACGGGGAATTCGATGGTACTTCTATGAATATGGGATTATCGTTATATAGACTATGAATTAATAAAAATTTGGGGCATGGTATTATACCCTGACTCAAATGACTAAATCCTATACTCTAAATCTGTAAACCCTAATATGACACATATGGTACCTTGGATATATCTCAATGAATCAAATCATTGATTGTTGAATATTTTGTATTGACGTTTAAGGTTTGGAAAATTATGATCTAGGGTACCCTCATTGAGTTTAAGGTCTAGGATTCACTTATTTGAGAATTAGGATTTAAGGTCTAGGATTCACTTATTTGAGAATTAGGATTTAAGGTCTGTAAAGTTAGGGTCTAGGACTATATAGTGATCAAGTATCTCGGTTAAGAAATATCTGAATTTATTTACAAATTAAAAAATAATCATTATCTGAGGATAAAACCAAGCATTAAAAGTGATAGATTGATGCATATTATATAAAATAAGTAACTTACTGTATTAGTTCAGAAAACTTGACACAATATCTTACATCGAGACTTGCACACCTCCATTGAAGACATGCGTCCAAATGAGATAATTGACTATTATAAGTTCGTATGTTAGATCTTGGGAAATTTCAACATATTTTTATGATAAGTTTGGTCAAGAGAGTCAATATTTCTGGATTGACTGAATGAATTTTTAATTCAGATCATGCATTACTTAGATCAATAAATAAAATTTACTCATTTAATACTTTTTGTTTGATTGAGAAATTACTCAATAACAAGTAAATGTCGCATAAAATTTGCCTTAAGTTTACATACAAGAGAATTCCTTAAATTATGAAAGAATCAATTAAAACGTCACGAAAGAATGAAATACATAAATTAATTTAATCAGCAAGATCAATGAATATAAATAAAATATCTGGAGTTCATAAAAATCTGTGTATTCTATATTCACGTCTCCAATAATTGATCAACTTTCGTGGTCGTGATAACATTAATGCATTGCTCCTTCTCTCTTAAAAAAAATGGTCCAAAGTATGACCTGAAACAGAAAAAAACGAACAGAAAGACATCTCTTTAGTCTTTACATCTTTGGTATCCATGACCCAAAAGAAACCATGTCAAAACCAACATGCAATGCAGGGACCAAGGTTGTCAAACCGGTTTATGTTAGTGTGCTGGTTTAGCAAGTGGAATGGTTCAACTGGTGGCACATACCGGTTTGTGTCGGTTCATGCCGGTCAATATTACAAATAAAATTATAAATACTCATATTTAAACATGACATTTAACGTTAATACCTAAACATCTATATTTGAATCCAACAAATAACATCAATATTTAACTTTTATACTCATAAAATAAATAATAAAATAATTTTTATCAATTAAATTATATAAAATAAGATCATTTTACTTAGAGATTCGTATATCGATCATGCCGGTCATACCGGTGGTGTCACGCCAATTTTATGACCGGTACCGGTTGAACCCGGTACAACCGGTGGCAGGCTGGCAGGCGTGACATGGCAGGGACCATAAAACATTAACAAATCATACGGCCGGGGTGCAGTCAGAAGAACACATTTTACAGCAAGACCAAACTTTAATATTACTATTATATTATCATCACAATAATGAACTAGGCAGTAGCTACATTTTTTTTTATATTACACAGAACAGACGCAGACCTACGCGTAGAAATCGAGGAAAAAGGACTTTAGTAGAAAGAAAAGGGTGACACTTTCAAAACCTACAGTCCAAAACAAAAGATAAAAGAAGAAGAAGAAACAGCAGCCAGAAGCCACTAGCTACCCCGACTGACCCTTTTCGTTTTTCATCTTTACCCTTGCCAATTTCACCAACTTTATTATAATTATTATCCCCTTTCCTTAGAAAATTATAAAAAAAAAAAACAATAATATTCAAACACGATCGATCATGGGTTTATTTATTTATCTGCCGTTTCATTCACTCAGCCCCCCGTCGTTCCGGCGACCAATGAGGAACCGCCGGGCTGAAGTGCCTCGACACAACCCTAGCGTCCAGCAGCTCCATGATGGGCGTGAAGCTCACGCACCTCGGCACCTTGTACTGATTGATCGACGCGCCCCGCGAGATCGCGTAATCCATCAGCTCTTCGAACGTCCCGGCCCGGACCACCCTTATCTCCAGCGGTCCGATCGAGTCGATCACCCTGCCTTGCCTGTACACCGAGTTCAGCTTCTCCTCCATCGCCAGACAACACCGCTCCATCACTTCCTCCGTCGGAGGCAACGACTCGCTCCTCCCCATCATCTCCCAGAACACCACGTAGTGCCCCGGGATCGTCGTCTTCGTGTCCGCGTAGCTCGTGTACTCCACCACCCTCGTCTCGAATCCCTTCATCAGCAGCTCCGACGCGCTCTCCACCGCGGCCTGCAGCTCCGACTCGTCCGTCTTGTCCGAGTCGATGCTGAGCAGGACGTTCTTCCTCCGGACGAACCGGAACTGCGGGGCCGCGTTGTGGAAACCCGCCACCCGCAGGACGTCCCCGACTTTGTACCGGCACAGTCCAGCGTAGGTAGTGATCACCAGCTCGTACTCCTTCCCCACCTCCACGTCAGCCAGCTCCACCAGATTACGCGAGGAGCTCTGCACCTCGCCCTCCACATCGTCATCATCATCGTCGTCCCCCGCCACGTGCGGCATGAACTCGAAGTAGCACATGTTGGGCATCAGCGTGTAAGTCACCTCCGACGGCTTGACCATCGGTTTGAGGTTGAGCCCGAAATAGCTCTCCGACGAGGCGTACATGGTGCAAGTCATCGGCAAGCCGCCGCTGTAGTACTCGAGGGTTGGAATGTACTGAGCCATGGCGCCCGTCACGATGACGTCAAGGTACTTGGTGTTGGGCCAGATTCGGGCGACGATCCCTTCCCAGTTGGTATCCGAGCATGACTCGGCGATGAAATCGGCCAGATCCGGGTTCGGGGTTAGGGTTTGGGCCATGACACGTCGGATGGACGGGTCGGTCACGTTGGGGTTGAGCGAGCCGGTCCGGATGTCGCGGGCGAGCTGGTCCCAGTTGAGCTGGAGGAAGCGGATGGCCTTGAGGAGACCGGAGGCGAAGACGGCGCCGACTCGGAGGACGTCGTGGCGCATGATGAGGCCGCACAGCATCTGGGTGTACATGCTCTGGTGGGAGTCGACGCAGAGGATCGCCTCAGTCGGGCTGGTGATGACGTTGTACGGGTCGTACGGCCGGTTCTTGAAGTGGTCGCTTTTGTAGTAGCTGGTTAGAACCGGTCTGGCCAGCAGGCCGCCGGGGGTCTTTGACTCGGCCTTGATGAAGTAGAAGTAGAGCGCCTTGCCTTTGTCCAGTCCCGGGACATACCTATATATATAAATACAAACAAAACAAGAAAACTATTAATTAATTGATTAATTAAATTTTTTTATTTTTTTGGTCTTGGTGGAAATGGAATTTAGTAAACAGGTACAAAAATACGTACAGGTTCATGACGGGAGTGAGAAGGCTGTAGAGAAGCTGGCGACGGTCCAAATCCTCTTCAATAGCTGGCATCAGTTTCCGTTCGCCAGCTGAAGTTCCGGAGCTGGAAAATTAATAGCAATCAATTATTAATTAGTAATTAATTACCAATTATTACGGTCGTATAATTAATTAATTAATTGATAGTAATTTGAATTACCTGGTGAGGAACTCGGAGATGGGGTGGGAAGAGAGGATAGGCGAGCGGTCGCCGTTAGCGATGCGCTGGATCTCCGGCATGAGATCCTCGTAAGTCACGACGGGAATCTTGGACTTGAACGCCTCCCTGTCGGTGGCGCCGTCGAGGCCGAAGCGGCGGAGGTACTCGGTGTCGGCGTTCCTCCGGAGTATCTCGGCCAGGACCCGCTCCTGCACCGAGTCGGCGTTCCGGGTCATCTCCTCGATGAACTCGAGGGCCTTCCTGTCTTTCTCGCACGCCGGTGGGCCCAGCGCCGTCGGCGTAGTGGAATCGACGGCCATTTCCCTCGAAGTGTTGGCAGGCAAAACGAAGAAGAGAAGAGAGTTGTTTGTAAGGGAGAAGCGGCGGGTGATGAGAGGGAGAAGGCGGGTGCGTACTTGTATTTATAGCAGCGGGCCACGTCACCGTCCACGTGGGACAGCCGGGGTATAATAGTTAAATATTGTATGGGGGACGGAAGGGTGTCGAGAGGAGAGGGGGCAGGTGGGCCCCATGGAGCCGACAAGGGTGGGCCCACATGTCGTGCCATGTCAGCGGGAAGGGGGGATGGGATTAATCGTCAGGAGTTTGTTGGTACCGGATAGCGACGGCTGCCGGCTAAATACTGTACTATTTTTGCCATGCCTCCGGTCAGAGCAATGGATCCCTTGGAACGGCCAAACTTTTTCTGTTTTTTGTTTTTTTGTTTCGTCGTCCCAAATTGTAAATGACAATATGATATCGTCTTGCGTTTGAATTTGAATGGTTTTTTTTGTACACGCACATTTTGGCAAGGGCTTTGAAGAAAACTTCATTGCGTATGGCTAACAAAGTGAATCCAATTTGAGTTGTCTGTTTGGGCCGTTGCTGAAGGTTTGTGAGTGTGTATGGATGACAAATGGACCTTCGATTGTGATGGGAAGAAAAAATGCCGGTGTAAAATGCTTGTAGGAGGGCTCGTCCAAGGGTTGTCATACCCAAAACGGATCTCATCACCTTGGGAAATATAGATATGTTTATTTGTAGCACTAGCTTACAGAACCAGTTGCTGGCTCCAAGGTCTACACGACCGTTCACTACGATGCAGCATGATGGACATCTGCATAATTCATAAAATTAGCATTGGTAATGATTTATCTCTTCCCACCCTTTCTTGTTTTGCCGCATATTTTCCTTAGTTTTCTATGGGACCTACTAGCAAAGCTTAGGAAGTCGTGATGGAGGAGAGTTTTGGAACTCCAAGCACCAATGAAGAACAAGAATATTACCACGCATGAGGGCACAGGGTCACAGAAGCCGCATGAAAGACTCAGAGGGATCCGAATTCCTGATAGCCCTGCTCAGACAGATAGTGTGGATATAGACGTTGAAAGGGCTATAGAGCAGCTCAACTTTAGCTTTTTAGAAGAGCATCTGTAACCCTTGTACGTGAGAGATAAAGGGGTCAGTGTGTTGCAGAACCACATTGTCTAGACATCTATTTAAGACCCAAGTCCCGCCAAACTTCTCATCTCTTAGACTCTCTACATATAGCTGAACCTCGAATCCGACAGATCACTTGAGCGCCTATATGCTAAAGATGCAGCTCATCAACACCACAGATTTAGACATGTACAAAGCACTTCTTGTGACCTTCAGCGACCACTACAGGTCGTGGTATACCGAACTTCCCGAAGGGATAATAGAGAACTGCGGGCAGCTAGCGGTCCTATTCACATGAAAGTTTGCCTCGCTAAGGCGATGAAAACTTAGAATTTTGGCTCATCAACTGCAGACAGGGGATGAGGAGACACTTTCAGACTTTTATGATCGATGGAACGTGATCATTGGATAAATCTGGGGGATATCTACCAACGTGGCTGCAGGTTACCTAAGAATGTCTACTCATAGCTACTAGCTAAAGCCGGCCCTCATAAAGAAGGAACACACCTTAAAGGCGTGGTCTGATATGGACTAGCTAGTACGGAGGGCGCTAATGTTGGTGGAAGAATCAGACAAGAATAATCAAAGTGAATACTTAAGGAAATTCATCAGGGAATGTGCAGCACGCATGTGGGACCACGCGGTCTTGAGAGAACAGTTATGTTCTACTGCAGGGGCACTACTAGCTAACAGTAAAGAAGGATGACTAGGAGGTTGTAAGAACGTTCCATGAATGCAAAGTTCACCTGAACAAGCACCACCTCTCAACTTCAGAAATGCAACCCATCATAAGCCCGACAGTACGAGAATGCTGACTCTAATCAGCGACATGAAGGACCTCATTAATCCTCCAAGAGAGAATAGTATGATCACGACATAGTTGAAATATCTTAGGTTGAATGGTCAGAGAGCATAAAAATTGGTGGTCATCGACATGGCAATCGCAATTGGGAAAAAGATGCAAGGGACACATTTGATCGTGGAAGAGGAATGCAAGGTACCTTGTTAGAGAAGTTAGGAGTTCAAATGGGTGAATCCACGCTAGATAAGATTTACTGGGGAAGATTATATGGTCTAGTGGTCAAGTGGTACTATGATGGGAAAATTCGATAAGCGATAAGACACACAAGGAATATACGCATGCTCGTATGAAAGCTGATTATCATGACCGTACATGAGGAGTTACGCTATGAAGCAAATTATGATGTCGAAATTTTCTTAAGGGGGAGGGAAATGTTACATTCCAGCCAAGATAGTTTGATCGAATACGATTTGTCCCAGTACAAGTGTTTATCTCTCAGTCCCTACCCAACAGTTCTAGTTTGGAGGAAAAAAAAATTTACAAGCCTGGAGGAAATGCAACACCCCGACATTTGGGTGTAGGTTCGACCGAACGATTGGGTCAACGGTTATGTTACATGTCACACTCTTTCTGATAGTTTGACGGTGTTTTCTAATGTTGAAACTACTCTAAAGCGGATGGGGGGTTTGGATTTGTGGGGTATGTCTTTGTACTTATGCCTTCCGTTCTAATTGCTGGCATGATGAGAATGTTTTTATGGATCCTCCTGATTGTGGTGACGGCCTTGTTCATTTTATTATCTATGAAATTCATAATTTGATATCTTAAATTGATAGTACAGTATCCGCATTTTTGTGAGCCACGGTTAGAAACCACTCATATATATACTTTGGGGTCTTATGTTTCCCTACATTATTATTTCCTTGTGGAGATAAATAGAGTTAGGGCTGCTAAGCAGTTATTAACGGTGACCAATAACCTGGACCATTGGTTAACGGTTACACCAATAAACAATTTAACATTAAATTATCAGTTTTCGGTAGCCAAATTTAGATAGTTACTAATTAATGGTTAATTGGTTAATAATCTATGGTTAACCGATTACGACTATCCTCCTAGCTTTGGCCGAAAATAACATGCCTCGATGAAAACGGAATGACGGGCCTAAAATAATGAGATGTTTGAAGGCCAACAAGATATCTTGCCTACCCTAGTTATAACAATCGGTAACATTCGAGTGCGCACAGTAGCTCGACTTCAATCGGTAATATTTGAGTGTGCACAGTAGCTCAACAACAACCGGTAACATTTGAGCTACTGGAGTTCATGAGTTAGTAATTGTTGTTCGATCTCTTATTTGTGTATGCTTCTTTAATAAAATTTGACGGTAAATTGGTGTTATTGGCGTACTTGTGTTGGATTGAGTTGATTATGGATTGATATTTATGGTAGATTATTTTTATTAAATGATAACAAGTTAAAAAAATATACACGTATGTAGCAAAATCTACAAAATGCACAATTGAAAAATGAAGGATGACTTCTATTGGTTAGGTTATTGATCGGTTATTTGGTATAATCTTGTTGATGACTCGATATTTGCACATGTTTTCCCCTTTGTTTCTTGATTGTTTGAGCTTTAATTATCGCGTCTTTGGCCTATTTTACGCTAGGTTGTGTTCCTTTGTCCAGGTCCTAGCACATAAAGTGAAGCATAGGCGCAAGTTTCAAGTCAATCAGAGATCAATTGGCGATTCGAGATAAGAAACTCGGGCATGACCTGAATAAGAATGGATTTCTACCTCAATTTATGGACAAAGAATCATGCAAGCTTGTCATGAAAAGAAAGAGGACGAGACTACGAGCGTCTGGGATCAAACGACGACTGATTCGGAGTCCGAGCGAGGGAGAAACGAAGCATTGAATATAGGGGAACAGGTTCGGCAGTAAAAACACGGGCAGACTACCCTAAAAACACGGCCGTGTTTTATCTGGCACCCGCTAGTGTTTTTACTGCCGAGGGCGTGTCGTGAGGGCTGCTGGGGGCAAAACACGGGCGGGCAAAAGTAAAACACGGCCGTGTCTTCGACCGTGTTTTGCCAAGAATCGGGTTTTTGAGGCAGATTGAAGCCAAAGGAAAGGGAGAGCTGGGTTTTGGTTCCCAAACACCCAAGAGACGAACCCTAGAGAGAGAGCGACTTGGGAACATTCTTGGAGCTATTTTGGAGAATTTCTTCGCCATTGGAGCTCGGGAATCAAGCTTGGAGATGGAGATTGAAGATCTAGATCAAATTTCTGCAGTCTCTCTCTTCTCTATGGAGTAACTTCCCTTCACTTAGGTTTTGAGTAGGGTTGGCAACCGGTCGGTTTCGGTTTAACCAAAAACCAAATTCTCAGTTTTTGGTTAAACCAAGACCTGACCAGTGGCCACCGCCCACCGGCCGACCCTGGCGCCTCGGTTATCCGTAAACCGACCAGGCGGTTTCGGTTAAGGCGCGGTTAAACCGGCGCCACCGAAATAGAGATGGCCGGTTCGGTCTGCTGTCCTGACCGACCGAAGACCGCCAAAAAACCGACCGTTGACAGACACAAACCGACCGCCAAGACCGAAAACCGACCTTTAACCGGTCAAAACCGACCGGACAGCAAGGGGAAAAAACCTAAAATCGCCTAAAATTAAAATCTCAAACCTACATTTCAATTCCTTTCGCATCGAAAATACATCTAAATTAGCAACTTAATGTCTCACATTCATTAATTCAACAACATAAACTCCACAAATCACAATAAATCCTCTAGATAACAACAAATCAACAACACATCATAATCTATCATCACTTATCACCAGCCTTAGAAGAACCAACATCTGCATAACCCTGTTCGTTCAATATGGGCACAAGTCATGACCATAATCATCATATCCATCTTTCTCATACTCTTCCTCCGGTGCATCTTCTTCACCCTCCTGCTCATTCTCCACTGGAATGTTGAGGCTTGCATCTGCATTGCCAACATTGCCAGTATTCGTTGCACTTTCCATTCTAGTTTGGAAAGTGACATTAACTGAGTAAGAAAAAAAAAGGAAAACAAAGTGTTAGTACATTCATATATTGAATTAGGTGAAAAGAAGACAAAAAACTGAACAATAAAAGAGTTTGAGAACTCACTACTTTCCAAAATCAAATTCTCTTCATCATCTTCCTTGTCGTCAATCTCCCTGGATCCGGGATACCTTATCCAATCCTCAGCACAAATCAATGCCTCCACCATTAGGTCGCTCAAAGAGGACCTGAATGGACTGAGATTCGCCCACCACAACTGAATGTTGCCTTTGAGGCAACAGAAGAGATAGGAACAGCTAGGACATCCTTAGCCATCTCAGCAACAATCGGATATATTCCAGAGTGTCGAGACCACCATTCCAATATGTCAAACTTTGCATCATCACTCTCTTCATTGATGCCATCAGTTTGACATTTCAAATAGATGTCAAGCTCAGCAGAGCTACCTCCTGTTTCCAGCAGAAGTGCTTCCCTTTTTCTCTTTCTAAGCCTCTCCTCCAATATCTTAATCCGATCACCAGCACCATCAACAGAACCATCATCAGCAATATTATCATCAGTGGTAGGCTGAGATGCTAACTCTGATCCATACTTCCTCTTATAAATCTCAAACATCTGGCGCATCTCCCTTTTAATAGTAGCCTGAATTTCCCGTCCTTTGCTACTTCCATAAATCATTACCAACACTTCAGACACAAGATCAAGTTTACTTCTAGGATCAAGCACACATGCTATATAGATTAAATGATTCACCCTAGGATTCTCCTCATTCATGACAGGTGTGTCAAACCAATACTTTTGTACCTTTTCTTCAACCTTTTCTGCCATCCTTTTGAGCTCTTCATGCGGATCATTCTTCAATTCTTGAATGATGTCATAAATTGGAACAAGTTTCTTGAAGAAAAGATGGGTAGTCACATATTTAGTTCCTGTACAAATTATAATAGAATACAGGAAATTAGACTTAAACAAACCAAATTTGTCAAATGTTCAAATTAAAATAAACAAAGTTAGCAAAAATTTCACTTACCCGAGACTAGGAGGGCAAAGTCATTAAAGACTTTCAGATACTTCATCAACTTTCTAATCAGACTCCAATCATGTTCAGTTGGAAGACCACCTCTTGCGTCAATATAATCCCTGAAGGAATGATCTTGTATACTTGTATACAAGGTGGTAAACACTCCATCAAACCTTTCTGCTGCTTCTAACATGATATAGGTGGAGTTCCACCTGGTCGGTACATCCAAACACACCAATTTGGTAGAATCCAACTCCAGAAATTGCATAGCAGTCTTGAACCTTGCCAACCTAGCTGGCGATGACCTCACCGACTTCACACAGTCCCGAATTCTATCTACAGCTTCTCCGATTACTTTCAATCCATCCTGCACCACCACATTAATGGTGCGACACATCGAAACTGCAGATACTTCCCATCCATCAAATCACACCCCCACTCCTTTAATTTCCTTCTCATGCAATCACTCACAATTTCATTTGTAGATGCATTGTCCATGGTCATGCAAAACAAATTCTTCACCTTCCATTCTTCAAGAATTTCTGCAAGCTTCTCTGCAATATCAATTCCTGTATGACTTGTGATGGGAACAAAGGAGATCACCTTCTTCTGCAACTTCCAATCACCTCCAACAAAGTGAGCAGTCACACACATGTAATTTTTGTTGTTGTCAGAAGTCCACGTATCTGTGGTGATTGAAACTCTGCCTTTGCTCTTTGATTCAAAAAACTCTATCAAATTCATTTTTTTCTCCAAGAATATATGAAAGCAATCATCTCTTATAACTCTCCTCCCAGGTATCTTAAACAGTGGCTGAACCGTATGCATAAACTGCTTAAACCCGTCTCTTTCCACAAAGCGAAAAGACAATTCATCCATTATAATCATCATGGCTAAGGAATATCTTGCTTTTGCTTGATCAAACTTCCATAAAGCATTTACTTGACTTCCACTACCATCTGCGGCCTGCAAGTTCAGAACAGTCTGATCCTTGGATGCTGCAACCTTAGCTAAACAGGATTTCCGATGGTTATTCATTGCAGAAGTGCCATTCTTGGATGGATGTGCTTTGATCTTAGTATGACAATGCTTGCACTCTCCAAACGGATACTCATCCACCGCCACCTTCGTAAAGTCCTTCCAGCAATCAGCTGAACCCTTTGTCTCCAACCATCTCTCTAGATTGAAGGGATCGTCTTTAGCTTTATTTGAAGCCGGATTAACCGTTTCTACTGAAGGAGCCTCAGCAGCAGGTGTAATTCCACTACCGACATGGGCGGGAGTCGATGCAATTGATGCCGACGCTGACGGTTCACCAGACTGAACAGGCTGACTTCCTGTACGTCCACCACGACCCCGATTCTGAGTAGGAGGGGCTGAGGCACCCGCACCACCACGACCTCGGGGAGCCGGAGGTCTCCCACAATGAGAAGCAGTCTCAGTAGATAGTGCACCTCGTCCGCCACGTCCACCACGTGGAGCCGGAGGTCTCGCCCTACATCAACAGTTACACAAATTTAAAATTGAAAACTAAATTCACAAATTCTAACAACTAACAACTAACAATCATCATCAATCATCATCATTCATCAATCAAAATCATCATTCATCATCATTCATCAATCAAAATCATCATTCATCATCATTTTACATTTCTAATTACTTTTGGTAATGACACTAAGCATTTTCAATCACTAATCAATAATCATCATCATTATATGTTCAAAATCATCACCAATCCACCAAAATAATCATTCAACATTCATAATCAAAATATATAAGCATCATTATATGTTCAAAATCATCACCAATCCACCAAAATCATCATTCGACATTCATAATCAAAATATAAGCATCATTATATTAATCACATATCATCACCAATCCACCAAAATCATTCGACAATTGACATATATAATTTGCAGGCCCTTTTTTAATGGGGAAAGGGCGACGAGCTGCTTCAAAATTGGCGATGAGCTGCTGCTTCCTTCTGAGGGCGGCGGGGCGACGTCGAGGTGGAGGCGGCGGTCGTGACTCGTGAGGGAGAAGGAAGGCGGCGGTCGTGAGGGAGAAGAAGGGGGTCGGAGGGCTGGGAGCCTGGGACTGTCGAGTCGAGTGTCGACCGAAGAAGAGTGGGGGTCGGAGGGAAAAGGCGATCGGCGGTCGTGACTCGTGAGGGAGAAGGAGGGGGTCGGAGGGCTCGGATTATCGACCGAAGAAGAGTGAAGGGGTCGGAGGGAAAAGGCGACCGGCGGTCGTGAGGGAGAAGGAGGGGGTCGCCGGCTGTGCACTGCTGTGGCCTGTGGGGGGAGAGTGGCGGCTGTGACGAGACTCGAGAGGGTTAGGGAGGAATCGGCGGATGGAGGCTGTGACGAGACTCGAGAGGGTTAGGGAGGAATCGGCGGATGGAGGCTGTGCGAAGCGAAGAGGGTCTAGGGTTGGGGGAAGGGTCGTTTCCGCTAAGCCCAAAACGACGTCGTATCGTCGGTCGGTTAGCGGCGGTTAGCCAGTTAACCGGCCTCGGTTAATCGGCTAACCGCCTAACCCTATTATGCACCCGCCAACCGACCGCTACATGTTAATTTCGGTTTTCGGTTAGCCAAAAACCTGCGGTTAACCGCTAACCGGAAACCGAATTGACAGCCTTAGTTTTGAGGAACTCTAGTTCCATGTGTTAGGATCTTTCTTGTATGAAGTTTTGGATGCTATATTGTTTGATTATAATAGATTGAGACATGATTTATTGAGTCAATTGAATCTTGATCAAATTCTCTTGATTTCTGCTTTAACTTATGATAGATAGAATCTGATTAGGTTAAGAGAGCTTCCTTGATTGATAGTGGTAAATTGGTTGTGCGAGAGATAGTCAATTCACTACTTTGTATTGGAATTCATTCCAGTAGTGGAGATCTGTGTGAATCGCCTTAGCAGTCTATTCCAGTGAAGGCTAGTCGCCTGCTGGATATTCTGTCTAATAGGGCTTGGTCAGCTTAAGAGATTCCAAGCTAATTTAGGATCTTCCGCGGTTTAATCAACAGTAGATCAACCAAAGGTAATTTCAACTTGGACCTAATTGAGGAGCTAGGGGGAATCATACCTAAGTGAGTTCCCAACTTGTAATTAGTAGAGTAGTTTAGTAAATCAATCATTAATCTAGTTTGCTAGATAATGAACTGAAGCTAAGTAATAGTAACTCTAGAGACCCGTGGATTCGATATTTATTACTTGTGTCATTATACTGCAGTCCCTTTCATTGGTTACACTTGGCCATTGTTAGGTGTTGTGTCGTAGCGTGTCACTTGTCGAATCCCTTTCTTAATGATTATCCGATTAACTGATAAAATATTATAGAACCGAATATACGATAACAATTAACCGTTTAATATAAACAATGCCGGTTATAACCGAACCGAACCGAAGCAAATAGATTGTTAGCCCTAATGAATGCAATCAATATAGGCTTGGAAATTCCTGCTTGTCGTGATTTGGATCTGTCCATTTTGTTCTGATAAGGTATCGTTTATTCAACCATCCAGAGGGAACAGAGGGTGGGTGACCCTTTTCCACTGTCTTCACTTCCTGACAGTCACAAAAACCCATTCGTGTTCCTCATAACCAAACTGGAGGGAATTGTTAATTGTGAATTAGGAATTAAATAAGCCAATGATTAATCACCATTATCGATCTGGATATCAAGATAACGAAATTTAAAGGAAGAAAGAAACGGAAGATAACGAGATTTAAAGGAAGAAAGAAACGGACTGGCAAAGGTTGCTGTTGGCCAGAGAAAGCCACACCACCGGCAGTTTTGTAGACAATAACTAAGCTGGAACGGTGGAACCTCAACTATTGAGTTGTTGTAGTTGTCAATTAAGACTCAATTTCTTTAATCGTGATATATTTAATAGGATAATTCTTTACTTTTTTATATAAAAATGAAAATTATTTATATGATATGTATATATCTAGCCAAAAATTTCATGTATAATTGTTGAAAATTCTAGTCCGGGTGAAAAAGAAAAACTCTTGAGAGAAGCAAAGAGAGTACAAACTGGAACTTGCTTAAAATTTCATGCCTTCAAATCCCATAAACGAAAATGGTGACCTTCTAATAAGTAGAGTTTTTTAAGTTTAAGCTTTATGATTTCAAGTTTTCAGTTACGAATTACATTTACTCGAAATACATGTTTGATGATCTATTTTTCCTAGAAATTTGAATTAGGAGAATTGAGAATGTATGAGGCCTATGAATATATGTTAAGGTAACCCGCCGCCTAATAAAGGTGAGCACAGAACTTTGAGATACCTCACCGCCTAATGAAGGTGATAGCATGTTATGTGATATGTATTTTTGAGGTACTTCACAACCTAATGATGGTGAAGTTGATATGTGTGTGAGGTGTATGTGTTGAGTGAGTGTTAGTAAGGAAAGGAAACTCCCGGGTGGTTGGATCACTGCTGGACGACAATATGATACACAGTAGTTGATCATGCATGATACCGGACGGCAAATTGAAACTCGGGTCATTACCTATGATATGGCACCGGACGACGAATCGAAAAGTGAGCCATTTCCTAGGAGGTTATGACACCGGATGGCGATACGAACGCGGTGGTCATAGGATAAGGAGTGTCTAGTTTTGAGGTTAAGGGTGGAGAGTAATGTCAACTCCCACAAATTCATTTAAAGGATAATGTTAAAGGAAGGGAGTAAGAACAACTCATGTAAAGTAAAGGTAAATGTTTTAGTTTATTATAATATTTTGAGTTTTGAAGGTGGCGAGTAGTAACAACTCCCACGTGTTTAAGTGTTAGTGTTAAAGGGTGGTAGTATAAACAACATCCACGAGTTTTTAAGGTGAACACTGAAGGGCGAAATCTTAAGTGCTCTGAGATTTTAGTAACGGCGCAGACTGGCCCCTTCTCACTCACCAGATAGAGAAAGGGTTAGAGAGCGAGTAGCTCGAGAGTAGTTAGCGCGAGACGAGCAGCAGCACCATCAGTGAGGATGTCTCAAGAGGGATCACATTAAGAAATTGCAATTGGATATTCTTGTTATGTCATTTCATGATTATGAGTTTATACTGCAGCTTCAGATCTTAGTGTTTTATGAATTGGATTTGCCCAACTATCTAGGGCTCTTTACAGTTGAATTACAAGAAATGGTTCAGTTTCTTTTGTTTTCCTTGTTTTGATTTTAAGGAATTTTACTCTGCTTCGGAGCAACAATTTTATATGTTTGGTTAAAAGGGATCAGGATGTTACAAATGGATTTAGAGCTCATATCTAACTCCATAAGACATTTTGTCACTACTGCAGCCTAATATTTGGATCAAACTATCATAGTTGAATGCACAAACATATCTGGAGTAATTCCTTCATATAAGATAGTATGGTATGGAAAGCAACAAGCAGTTGAGAAACAATATGGAAACTGGGTGGATTCATACACCATGCTTCAACATCTTATGATTGCATTCTTGGATCGAAATCTTGGATTTTGTTATGAATGGGATCGCATTGAGAATGATGCTCATCCATATTATCGCATCTTCTCATGGTTGTTTTAGGCTTTCCAATCATGCATTGAGGGCTTCAAGCATAGTCTACCTGTCATATTTGTTGATGGTACCTTCCTTACTGGTAGGTACAAAGGGGTTTTGCTGATGACATGCACTCAAGATTGTAACAGAAGATTACTGCATTTGGCAATTGTAATGGTAGAGAGCGAGAACAGTAGGAGTTGGCATTGGTTTTTCGAACACCTCCAAGGATACATCACTCAACGGGAAGGCCTTTGTATTATATGATCAACATCAATGTATTCAAAATGCAATGGAAAAACATTAGTGGTGGATATGAAGAAAAATATTTGGCCAATTGGTAGGTTTAATATAGGTGGTCTATTTATTAAATTGGTATTAAGTTTACTCCTTAAATGATCATCTAGTATTCATTTTCAATTTGTAGGTGTGCAGAATCAAATACACAAGTATGCGACCCTGGTTGAGAAATTTGTTGTCATTGATGCAAGGTCAAGATTGCATAGTATTGGATGGTTCACGTAGTAACAGATATACTGGAGTGCATGAATGTTGTTAGGAAAGAAGTTCATGGCATGCCAGTTGAGACACTTGTGTTACGAAATTTTTGGTGCATGGTTGAGTACTTCAATGATCATCGTATGGATCCTAAGTCTGACTTTGAAAAAATAGGCAATTTATTTACTAAATATTGTGTGACGAATGTATAAGAATATTGCTTTAGGAAAACTGTCGTCAAGTGAGACCATTTGATTCCATGGCTGCAAGGTTTGAAGTCATTATTGGCGTGAACAATGAAGTAAATAGAGGAGGCAATTTCCAAGTGGTTCACCTCAATATTGATTATAGGTCTTGGAGGTGCACGTACATGAGGAAAGTTTCAAGGGACAATTATACCATGTTCCCACGCAATTGCATGCGTCCAGTTTCTACGCATGGATGCTAAAGTTTTCATCAATGCTAACTATTCGATATCGGCTCTTAGGGAGTGCTATGAGTCTGGATTCGAACCACTTGGTGATAGGCGGCATTGGCAAGTGTATCTCGGACCTTACCTTCTTCCATGGCAAGCAACAAGAGAAAATGCAATCCTGACACATAAAATATAAGTTTTATCACCTCATTATGTGTCATGTTTTGCACCATTTATGCGTATCTTTAGCCATTTTAATTTGGATTTCCTTGGATTTTGCTAAATGGTGCATTTGGTAGTCTCTATGACTGTTTACACATGTGATGCCTTTTTGGGTAGTTTTTTTTTTTTTTTTTGTATATTTTTCATATCAAAGCATCATAGAAGCTCATCATGCGGTTTTTATGTCAGATGGTGTTATACAGGGGAGTGTCGTGCGATTTTGGTGTCAAATGGGGTTATATAGGGATAATCAAATTCAATGTGGACCATCAGCAGATACAAGACCCTCTCCCTCTCGACAAGAACAAGATGATTCATGCCCGGCGAGGGGAGTTCTTGTTCGATGTGATGGGGCATGGCGGAAGGGTTGCGATGGAGGCATTGGCTTTGCCGGATTCTCTGACAGCGGAGTTCACATGTTTGATTACGGCAAATACTATGAAGATATCTCTGATACTTTCCTTACGAAGCTTTTACTGACACAATTAATTGGTGCTTGACTCACGATTTCTTACTGTGAATTTATGTGGGGACAGTCAAAAAATAGTGCGGCGTATTCGAGAGGGCTATGTAGCTCATGGTACGAGTGGCGCAGTGTTGGAGGAAGATCGATTGGTTGTATCTGCTTTTTATATTTTCTCTTGTTTCTTTTACTTTTCATAGGTACAACATGCCTATTCATTTAGTAGCTAACATGTCCCTTTCATCGATATTTCGATTACTTGTCGACCATCTTATTTGGTTGGTTGATGTGTTATGACTATCTATAACCCCTATCTATGAAAAAAAAATCTTTAGTGCTGGCTGAGTGCTGACATAGGTCTTGGACTTGGGCTCGCTTGAACCTACCCACACCAAGCCTTCCCATTTATCCGGATAAACACATATCATAAAAACCTACCAATCCGATGGTGCTAAATGTCTGGGAACCGCTAGCTGGTGGTCGGCTACCATGTCCTCCGTCGCACTATTCCCCATTACTCCGCCACCGGCGGCATCTAATCCCGCGTGCCGGCCATCCTCCACTGCCAACTCTCCAGGTCCAGAAAAACTTGCTGCACTGATAGACAAATCCAAATCCGCAAACCAGCTCTACCAAATCCATGCCTTCCTCTATCGCCACAACTTAAGCGACCACCAAATCCTCTCCTTCAAGCTTCAGCGCTCCTACTCTGCCGCCGGCCGTCTCGACCACTCACTTTCGATTTTCCGGCAAACTCAGACCCCCGACGTCTTCTTCTACAGCTCAATTATCCACGCACACGCGCTCCACAACCTCCACAAAGATGCCCTCCTCTTGTACGTCCAAATGCTCTCCGATAACGTCACCCCAAACACTTTCACCTTCTCGTCGATTCTGAGGTCTTGCCGGCTTCAAGCCGGCAAGGCATTGCACGGGCAAGCGACGAAACTCGGGCTCGAATCAGATACCTACGTGAGTACTTCACTCCTTGACGTTTATGCCAAAGGGGAAGATATGGAGTCTGCGCGCAAGCTGTTTGATTCTATGCCCGAGAGAAGCTTAGTGTCGCTGACGGCGATGATTACTTGCTACGCCAAGTGCGGGATGGTTCGAGAGGCGAGGGTGCTTTTCGACGGACTGCAGGATAAAGATGTTATCTGTTGGAACGTGATGATCGATGGGTACGTTCAATTTGGGTCGCCGAACGAAGGGTTGTCTCTGTTTAAGCAGATGCTGAGAGCTAAAGTGAAGCCAAATGAAGCAACCATGGTCGCGGTTCTCTCCGCTTGTGCTCAAATCGGGGCTCTGGAGTCAGGGAGATGGCTCCACTGGTACGCGGAGAATCACGGGATTGATATCAATGTCCGCGTCGCGACTTCCTTCATCGACATTTACTGCAAATGCGGTAGCTTGGAGGAAGCCCGTCTGGTTTTCGAGAGAATCACTCACAAGGACGTCGTGGCTTGGAACTCGATGATCGTTGGATATGCGATGCACGGATTGAGCGACGTCGCACTCCACTTGTTCGACGAAATGTGTAGACTTGGGTACAACCCGACCGATATAACTTTTATCGGCGTTCTGAATGCCTGTGGTCACTCTGGCTTGGTTCGTGAAGGGCGGGAAATCTTCTCTTCCATGGCGAGGAAGTACGGTATTGAGCCAAAAGTTGAGCACTATGGGTGCATGGTGAACCTCCTCGGTCGAGCCGGGTATTTAGAAGAAGCTTATGACCTGGTGAAGAACATGGAAGTAGAGCAGGACGCAGTGTTATGGGGAGCTTTATTAGGCGCATGTAAAATTCACGGCAACGTTGCTTTGGGTGAGGAAATTGCAGGGCTGATGATGAGACAGAATCTCGAGAATTCCGGCACATATGTTTTGCTGTCCAACCTCTACGCCAAGGCAAACAACTGGGAAGGTGTGGCCAAGGTGCGAACCATGATGAGAGACGGCGGAGTAGAGAAAGAGCATGGTTGTAGCTCGATTGAAGTGAACAACAGAGTGCACGAGTTCGTTGCTGGAGACTCGTGGCATCCGAGGAGCAAAGACATCCATATGATGCTCGAAGAGATGAATGCGTGGGTGAAGGCTCAAGGGTACACCCCTCGGACGGACACTGTGTTGCATGATCTAGGGGAGGAAGAGAAGGAGAAGTCCCTTGGTGTACACAGCGAGAAACTGGCCATGGCTTTTGGGCTCATTAGTACTGAACCAGGAGCCACAATAAGGATCGTGAAGAACCTCAGGGTGTGTTCTGATTGCCATGATGTGATGAAGTTGGTCTCCAAGATCACTCGTAGGGCGATCGTAATGAGAGACAGAAATCGTTTTCACCATTTCGACAATGGCTCGTGCTCTTGCGGTGATTATTGGTGACTTTCCATATCCTTACATTACAGATCACAAGGCCAGAGCGCAGAGCACAGAGCACAAAACTTACAGAAAGGAGGCAAAGCATTTTCTATATTGTATGAATGCTCAGCGACGCGAGTTACTTTTGTACATATGAAGATAATATTCTATGCAGCCTAGCCTTCAATGGAAGTCCCTACTCACAATTGAAAGACCGACTCTTTTTTTTAATTACAAAACTGATCACAGTTAGCTGGTGCATTGCCTACTACAGCTACAAGCAGAACCGAAAAGCTTCTTACCCCATTAATACAATTCCCAAGCGGGTTTCCACATCGTTGTGTGAGAGCCTTCCAGTTTTTCTTTCACATTCTGAAATCCAGAACACAAACAGTGTTGTTTGCAAAACAAGCGGCAATTTTATCGCCTTCTTTGTTCCAACAAACTTCGAATATTCCGCCGTTGCCAGTGTATTTCTTCACTATGTTTCCATCCTTCAATGACCAGACGTTTATGCATCTGTCGAGAGAACCGCTCGCCAGATACTCTCCATTGGGGCTGAAGGCGACGGAATATACAGGATCCCTGCACAAATCAGTCAGAGGACAGACGGTCAACAACAGTAGGAACAACTGAAACCAAATCAATGATGTTAAGAATTTTCAGCAGCACAATGACTGCTAGGTAACTTTCTGTTCATCACGACAAAAGAAATTACCTGTGTCCACACAAAGTGCAGAGAAGTTTCCCGACCTCCACATCCCACAACTTCACTGTTGAGTCAAATGATGCACTGTGGAAAACGCAGAACATGAAATTCCATTATACAAAGAAATATAAATTTAAGTTAAAAGGGGCAATAGAAGTTGCTAACGACCTACAAACAGGGCCAAAATTATGATCGGGACCGTATTGGTAATAAACGAATCAAAGATAAAATCTGAGTATAAAGACATATAAGTGCATTCGATGCAAATCAAGTTTTAGGACCTCATACTTTAGCGGCCATTAAGCTCAAAACAAACACCCTCACCCCTCCTTTAACTTCAGCCACATAACCCCTTCTGCTTTTTTCTTTAATCGTCTCGAAGGCCATAGAAGAGAGCACAAGATGACCGAGTCACCAAGATGCTTTCATTGCATAACAAATTGGGGTTGACAAAGGGGAAGCAATCTTTTAAACAATTACTCCAGTTTGGTCATTCTACCTTCTATTTTTAATTCCCCTTCAATGTTAATAATCCTACTTGACAAACAACCATAATAATTATTTTCTTCCCAGTTTAGCAATTGAAACAAAACCATCAGAAAGAAAGAAGTTCACTAACACTACTTTGCTATAGGAACTTCTCCAAACACTTCACTCCTAGTTCTCCTTTAGCTCAGCTCTGTAAAATTCAAACAGCCTAAAGAAACACACCCAACAATAAGACTCTACCTTGCCAGCACCAATTGTTCGTTAGGATTGCTGCTACCAGGTCCAGTAGGACTCCATCTAAGTGTATATATTTCCTGAAAAGAACGAGATTATTTATACACTTCAACTGGAATAAAGATCCATCTAGTCAAACTTGAGGAAAACTGGAACTCCAAAGTACCTTGGTGTGTTCCCTCAGATCATAAACGTACTTCTCTTGTTTCATGCTCCATATCTGCAGCAACATTGGACTCATAAGTAAACAAACAACACAATGAAAAACATAACTTAGAAGCTCTGAAGCAACAACAATGCAAGTGATTACCATTAAATTCAGAAATTGAGAAACCCAAAATGCAAATTGTTGAATAATTGAACAAAACAGTGGAAACAACCTTAGCACTGATGTCGTCAGAGCAAGATGCCAATAGCTGACCTGCTGGATCCCACTTAACACAATTAACCTCACCCTGAAAATCAGACAACAAAGTAGCAGCAATTACAGGACTATATTTTGCGAGTTAAACTGCAATCAGTTCCTTGGAAACCTTCAATGTCAGTATGACATAAATGAGTAGCACATAGGACGGCCTTTAAAAAAAGCAATCATTCAAGTAGGCAGAGAGCAAGTCCAAGTGTATTAGTACTATACTAGGGCAGAAAGATGTAGAGTTCCCAAAATATCTCTCATTTATTAAGATAGTAAGTGGACTGTTTACATTCATGAAATAAATTAAATAAAAGAGTGCAGCTGATCAGACTCCAACTGCAGCTTGGTCTCGTCATTCTTGACTCACACACAGGTCAAATATGACCAGTGACAAACTCTAGGCCACAAGCTCAATCTTTCTTCTTCCTTCTATTTCTTGTACGTTGTTAAAGCTTTACTAGAGTATAGAAGTTAGGCAACAGCTACAAAAGCTCACACAGCACAACGTTCAAGGCTTCGATTAAATTCTTAAAATCAACAGTCAACAAACATAGTTCCTTCAACAAACCTGATGGCCAGCAAATGTCTTTATTGGGCGTGTCTCTCCAACTTTGCAGACATATATCATATTGTCTGTGGAGCTTGTTGCAAATGAAACATTGTTGCGCCAATCAACATCAAGTATAGGACCTAAAATAAACTTGATTACTCAATGTTTTATTCCAGAAATGAAGAGCAGATTAACAATACCAAGACACCAAAAATTGAACCTGTGTGGAACTCAAACTGTTGTCGCCATTCCTCAGCTTTCACATCCCAAACTATCGCCGTTTTGTCGCAGCTTCCAGTCAGAAGAAAATCTCCCTTCTTGTTCCACTTAAGAGAGAAAATAGGTCCTTTATGTTTGGACAGAGTACTTTTCAGCTCGCCTAGACCCCACATAGACAAGACACAAGTTCAAAAAATAGTTACCCATAGCATCCTCTATCTCAAAAATATTCATTGAAAAATTTAAGTTAAATGAGACCCAACAAAGTTCGAGCTCAAAGAGAAGCCAATTAAGTCATGATCGAAGAGTACGCTTCTCCATTTGGCCTGCCTCGGTGATTCTTTCATTATCCCCCACCACACTTTCTAAGCTTTCAAGAATGGATATTCATAAGGTTAATTTGCAAGGGTTAAGATGTCAAACAGATGGCGGGGCACAGATGCAAGCCAGAACAACCTACCGTTCGTACTCCATATTCTGGCTTGCCCATCATATGAACCTGTAGCAAGTAATGTTCCCTCACCCTGCAAGCAGAAATGAAACAAAACCACAATTATGTCCCCTGAAACTGAAGCTACTTGTACATAAGACACATATATTTGCACTCATTTCAGGAAAAGAAGTAACAGTTCATCACTCTAGGTTCACTGAAATTTGAGAAAATGGAATGACCAGGCATGGAGAAATTCTAATGAACATATGGAGATTGGAAAAGCCAACAAAATAATATATCCACTGCTTAAGCCGACAAAATTTCCAAAATTACACGACACTGGTACACCATTGATGCTTTGACATCCATGAAAGAAAAACAGGAAATTTTACAGCTACACTTGCTCAATGATGAAGCATGTAGCAGGGCTTACATTCCAATCAAGTGTTGTCACGTCTTTACTCTTCTCGTTTGTTCTCCCCTTTACATGCTTCAGCACCAGTACATTAGCTGGACCATTCTGCATGCTAGATCTAGCGGTCCCCTCCGCAATAGTCCATATACGTGCAGTTGAATCTCCAGATCTACCATTTAAGGCAACAAGCATGAAACTTCTCCACTAAACTAATAACATGCAAGTCCAACTCATAGTATGGAACACCCAACAGCTCTAGAAAACACAAACCAATATAGATAGTCACAGTTAATATAAGATTCTTAGTTAATAGAGTACCAACCCGGATGCAAGAAGTGATCCAGTAGGACTCCATGCACAGGCACAAACCTGGGGAAAAGGAGGAAATACAATTTTGTCAAGCGGGCCTTACCTGACATCAAGAATAAAATCAAACTAAACAGCACATAACGAACAGAAATGGTCAACATATACAAACCTCCGAAGCATGACCTTCCAATATCATCACATCGGAACTACTAATTTCACATGCCTGAGAAGTTGATGGAACAGATATATCCATTGGTTCAGCCCCTAGTTAGATAAAGAGGAGAATGAATTACAAAGAATTAGTCGATAGAATAAACAGAGCAGAGATGCGATGGACAGAAACAAACAGACAGAAGGACAAATCAAGTATTTTATCCCTATAGCATGACCACAACATTTTCGGTCATATTCTCGGTAACAAGCATGGATTTCGTTCTTGTTCTATTACAACTACAGCAGAAAAGATTCATTAATTACTGTTCCATCATTATCTTACTTTCATTTGCGTTAACTGATGCTAAAAGGAAAAAGAATTATTTCCTAAAAATTCACTTCACAGGTTTGCTGGCTTCAGGGAGCAGCTGAAAAAATCAGCATACGGAACAAAATATCATATTTTCACATCAGGCCAACATGGATCATCAACATGTATAAGCTAACCTCCAGAAATGCCATTTTCTTCATGTTTGACAACAGTCTTCTCCTCTCGGTCAGGAATGGCCCCTCTGTCAGCATTATCTTCATGTTGTTTTTCTCGATCTCTCTCTCTGTCCTTCTCTACCTCTTTTTCTCGTTCCTGTCGTTCCTTCTCTCTTATACGTGCACGTTCTCTTTCATGCTCCTTCTCAGTCTCCTTATCCTTTTCCCTCTCTTTCTCTTTCTCCTTCTCCTTCTCCTTCTCCCTCTCTGTCTCCCTCTCCTTCTCCTTCTCCTTCTCCTTCTCCTTCTCCTTCTCTTTCTCTTTCTCTTTCTCCTTCGCCTTCTCTATTTCTTTATCTCTCTCTTTCTGCAGACTCTTTTTCCTCTCTTTGATCATTTGCCGCAACTCACGGACATCTTTTGTGATTAGATCCAAAGGTTGCAGAAGTGAGAAGTCTTCATCAGCGTCAGCATCACTCTGCAAGCTTAAAATAAGCCTATATCAACTAAATTCAAAAGCATATCAAATCTAAAAAAAATTTGGATGGGAAAGAATTATGTATGCTTACATTACTTAAGTTTGCTTCCATCTCCAAGTACTGCAGTCCCTTTTGGACAAATGATATAAGAGCAGCAGGAGGAACCATGTTGCCATCTATAGTGCATTTGTTAATACCTGCCTCATAGCCTAAAGCAAATGCTGAATGGGTGAAACCTGCAAGTGTCAAGTAAGCAACATTCAAAATACATTCTGTTAGCATCTGTGTCCTGAGAAGTCTCTCATCTATGGAAAGGGATCTTTTAACTCGTTGATCTTCTATAATAACTACAAATGCTGAACAAAACATGAGAATCCACATCAACTAGTCCAGGTAAGCTAGGAAAAAGACGAACTTTTCAGACTTCCTCAACCAAATATAGTCATTCCTTACAGTAACTAACTACAATTACTTTGTGTCCTACATTCAAGATCCATGCAGCACCAGAAAACCATCCACTGTGCTAATCCTTACAGTTAACTAAGCACAATAAGTTTGCATCCTGCATTCAGTGTTCAAGCAGCCCCAGACACACCATTCACTGTTTTAGTCAAAAGCTCACAAACAATTTGCATTCTGCGCTCTAAACAAATGAATGTACATTCAAGGGAACCGACAACAGATATACGAAAACGAATCATAACCAAATACCGTAAAAAATGCTGCAAAACCACCACCAAGAAGCAAAGAAAAAGAACTCAAAAAAGTTTAACAGATCTGCAAACCCTGCATGCTTTCTCAACCCAGCGAACAGAGGATAAAACACTCCCAAGTGAAAGAAAACACCAAATACCAATTAAAGAAACTCCATTTAGCGATGGTTCAAAAGCCTCTGCCTCATAATCCAAACCCTAATTTTGCCTACCAGGAAGATAAATGCTCTAATTTTGTTCGGGTGAAACTGGATTCAAAGAGAGGAGGACAACCCAACTGACCTGACTCTTGAAGGTACCGGAAGACGAGGTAGTTCAATTCGACAGAAGTGATTGACGTCATGGCCGGGCAGTCGCCGAAATCAAACAGCTCCTGCTTCTGATTTACGGAGCGCGGCCAAGCTGCGCAGAGGACCTAGAAACCGGGCAAAGGTGCAATGACGCCGAAGAGCTGCCGCCCGCTGAGACCGAGTCACCCCCACACCGCAGACCGCACAGTGTCTCTTGTTTTCTCTCTGTATGGCAAACGGGCGGGCCGTCCCGGACGGGGCAGCCTAGTTATTATGTTAACTTGAAAATTCGTTAGTATATACTAACTAATATTCAAAATGTATGAACTAATATTCAAGTATGCTGAGTATCTAGATAGCACAAACTAGTATTCAAAATATCACAAACTAGTATCCAGATAGCATATATCAACTAATATCCACAATCAACCAACTAGTATTCAATATGGATACTCTTATGTGTTATCTGGATACTCTTATGTGCTGTTTGGATACTAGTTTGTGAATTTGAGATAATAGTTGATTCATGGTGGATATCAGTTAGCAAACTTTGAATACTAGTCTGTGTTGTCTAGATACTTTAATACTTGGATGTTAGTTCATGTATTTTGGATATCAGTTAGTATCTGCTAACAAATCTTCAAGTTAGCATATTAACTTTACCCCTGGACCAGCGGGTATCTCAATTTTCATATCCCTTCCGCATCCATACCAAGTGCGAGTAGGGATGAGTAATAATCATGTGGGTACGAGACAGGTAAACCCACTCTAATTATTTAAAAAGATACATACAAAATTTTACTTTTTATGATAAAATTAAAAAAAATCACTATATGAATGACTTTTATGATAAAATAAAAAATCACTATATGAATGAAAAATAGTAAAAATAAATGAGTAATTGAGTGTAACTAGTAGAAAGATAAAGTCTACCTAAGTGAAAAAAATGTCAAAAGAGAAATGTGAATAAATATAAAATGGATCGTGAACCAGAAGAGTTGGAAGCAGCTCATGTCTTGCCCTATGATACTACGGGTTGGGTAATACCCACTCAATTGAGGGTTAACTCTAATAAGCAAAATAGGTTCAAATTGTTGATAGGTTCAATCCGTGCAGATTATTGTCAATGGTTAGCACGTGTCACCAACTACCCCATCCTAAGCCAAGTTTAACTTAATATGGCATTGTCTTATAATGGTGATCAAGGTCGTATTTTACTCGGGTCCTGGTACCCTAGCCTACTTCCCACCTAGTTGCTAATTAGTTAATCGGTTTTGGAGGTTTGAGTGGAGGACTTGAGGAGATAACTAGACTAGAGATTGATCAAAGCTAAAAGCAGGTACTTTGGGGAACTCATCCCCCCTAACTTAGGGTTATCGAATGTGGTGAGTGAGCTCTTTTCCGTGGCTTTCGTGGTTATCCATACGCCTCCGAGTACGCCTCCCCTCTAAACCAATATATAGTCACCTCGATCTAGGTTATCGTATATGGGGCAATAGTTCATGGCACATTTCAATGGACACTATCCACCATCCACATCGCGGTTTCATCCCGGGTTCTATCTAGGAAGGCTAACCTACGGCAGGAGTTCGGCCGCCTCGACCACCCTAGGTCGCTATTCATACATCTATCTCGATTTGCTTGATGGCGCATACTCGTCTAACACTAGAACTCCATAACTGGCGTAGAAGCATAAAGTAGACGTACTAATAGAGAAGATTAGGGCGACTTACCTAAACACAATCATCTATAGAATAGCAATAGAATCAACTAGGTAAACACATCCATTCATTCAAACACTAAAATATTCATATATGCATAATAAACTCTAAAACTAGGGTTTGGGGTTTAGAAACCCTTTACCTTAGAGGACTACTCCATAAAGGAGGGAAGAAGATACATAGAAGAAATTGAAGAAGACTTGGGTTGAGGAAGATGCTCCCACTCTTCTAGCTCCTTCTCCTTCTCCTTCCTTCTCCTTTTCTCCAGCTTCTCTCTCTTCTCTCTCTCTCAAACCGGAAATTTCTCTCAAAATAAGCTCATTTAAATGGGGGATAGGGGTCTTCTACTTATAGGCAATCTGGAGACGGAGAAGTTCGCGGCCAGAAGCACAGAGATCGCGGTCGTGATCTTCGGAAGTGAGGTTGCGATCTTGGAACGTCGTCGTCCTGGCCTTCGAAAATGAGGAAATTGTGGGCTGACTTTGCGGTTGTGATCCACGAGTCGCAGCCGTGATCTTCCTTGCAGTCAAAAGATGTTGTGGCCGTGATTCGACTGGGAAAAGTCTCTGTTTCTCCCTGGCTCCTTCCTCCCGAAGTTCGCGCCCTGAGCCCTCCAATTCGCGGCCGCAATCTGTGGCTTCCAGGTCGCGATCTTCAGCTTGAGTTCGCAATCTATGTTCCCGACCGTGATCTTCAGCTTTCAGGCCACGATCTTGAGCTTTCTGCCCCCTTGCTACACTTATGACCTTGTTTTGCACCTAATTCGCACATATCATCTCATACACCATAAAATCACATCGAATTCACATAGGAACGAAATAGGGATGCAATCGACGATGTTCAAACAACTACGCACATGAATTGGCACGAAAAAAACTTGATATGATGGTTAAATAACACTAATTTAGGTGCAATTGCCATTGGTGAGTGTAATAAATAATTGTAGTACGATAATGTTTATCTCTAGGTATCATGTGCACTGTTTTGCTTAATCGTAGTCCGCAACCATTGAGATTTCAGCCTGGACAAACCGTGACAAGTAAAGGTTTAATTTTTCTTAATGAATTTAGTTGGGCCCAGTTTGCTTCCACATGGGCCACCAACGCAAGGCACCAACAATTCAATTATATTCTAGGTTAGGGGTGTACATAGGTCAGGTGATTTGGGTTTAGTTATCTTAATTGACAATGCTAAATTCAAAACCACCCAAAAATTAGAACCAACGATTAGTTTACAATTGGATTGGGTTGGGTGGGCTATACTTTAACTAAGAACCCACCAACACCAAAAAAAAAATTATATAACTCATTAAAATTTCAAGAAAATAAACCAACGCGAAAAACATCAAAATACATAGTAGTTGTTGTTTGGATCTTGATGAAGTGCAATTTTCTTCAACATATTTCTAGTATTTTTCATAAACATTTAACGAAATAAGCGAAAAACGTAATTCATTATAAACTAACGCATCGATGATATGTTATTCTTCTAAAATTGTATACACACAAAATAAAATAACGTGAACCATTGCTATATTAAATACAACTAATATGGAAACATATCATAATTCCCTCACAAATATGCTTCTATACTACATAAATACATTTTGGATACGAACATTTATGACAATAGTTGTAACATGGGTTAGTTCGGTTATTTACGGGTTGCATAAGCCAAAACCCGCACTCAACCCAAGAGAGGCGAGTTCCACAAAAGAAAACCTTCACCTAGCTTTAAACTTGAAATTTAGCGATAAATACAGGAGGGTTATTTCCGGTTACGATTATTTTTGTTCACCTCTATCTCAAATGTTTATGTAATGTTGTCACTTGTCATAACCAAACCAGAGTATGAATCAATTAGCGAGTGGTTCACATTGTACTTTTGTAATCAATATTAGGTCGTTAATTTTTTTAAAATAATATGAAGCTTTATAAACATGAAAATATTATGAGTATTATACGTATAAAAACACGCAACATTGTAAACATCAAATAAAGTAAATTACTCTTAAACAGATCTAAAACATGAGTAAACCTCACATCTACCACATTATTCCCAAAATAAAAATAATGGAACAAGTGTAAGATCTCGTTACAATTTCAGGGAGACTAGGAGAAGCACTGTAAGGATGGTTTGAGGGGAAGGTAGAGGAACAAAAGATGGGTGGTTGAGAATTCTCAGACTTGTTGAGAAAATTGAGCAGTGAAGACGCAAGTCAATAGTTGAGTATTCTCGACAATGACTGCATTGTCGAATTTCTAAGTTCTCAAGCAAACAATATGGTAGGGGTTGTACATAGAGCACATTATTCTCCACCAAAAATTATTCAATTGGTCTTCCAAGACACGATATAGAATATAGTCCAATTATAACATTGATAAGAAATGTTCCATGGTGATCTCGGAACTAGTATGGAAGACGAGGTGAAGAACGACATAGATCACCTCCGAAAGTTTGAACTTAAACTAAAGTGAGAGCCTTCACTTCTTTCACGAAGCGGGGAGGTCCTAACTGCATGATATCATCAATTTGTTTTAGTTTGATCTCAATGCCCCCACGTATGATCATGAACCCTAAGAATTTACTTGTCTCGGCTCCGAAGATGCAATTTAGGGTATTAAGGCACAACGATTATTGTTTCCTTCATATCCTCCGAAAGATGAGATGATATTCATACTACTTACTCTAGGCAATCTTCATTAAGCATGACCATGATATCTTCCTCATGAAGAGCATGATTTGGATGTCATACGTCTTTGTAGTATGGCATCAAGGGTGCATACTTGGGCTCTTTCTATTATAAGGGCACAACATTCTCCAAATTGAGCGACGTCCCTTTTCACTTTGTCGATCCCTCTCGGGAGTTCAGAATTTAAGGGGTTGTTTGGTTTTTATGATAGTTTGGTTGGGATAGTTACAATATATGCATTGTTCACAATGCATCATTTTTTTGAATTTTTTGCACAAAAAATACATGCATTGTTTGCTTGATTTGACACAAACTATCACTCAAAATGAGTGATAGTTAAATCTCAAGTTTTGGTTGAGATTGTTTGGTAGAGATTGTTGGGTTTTGTTTTGTTCCAACTATGTCCCTACTTTTTTATGTGTGTTGCTTTTTTAATATTAAAAACAAAGGGCAAAAGTGACATTTCATCCAAAAAGTAATATAACTTATTTTAGTATTTGAATAACTATCACAGAAACCAAACGATGTAAACTATAATACACCAATTTTCTTATATACATGTATATTATTATGCATACACTGATAACAATGCATCAACTTCACTATCACCAAAACCAAACGACCCCTAAGAGTTTTCTGG